GGTTGGAACTCGATGATCTTCAAGGTCCTTTCCAACCTAAACCCTTCTGTGATTCCATGATTCTATGAAACACCCACTTTGTGATGGAAAACTGTTGAAAACGAGTCGAAATTTCTAGCCAGGAAGATGAAAAATCTCTTATCCCGCAGCCTCTGCAATCCAGGGTAGAGGTGTAGTTTCAAATGGGAAATAGTTTTGTTATTTACTTATTTGTTTCCATCCCTCCCCCCACGCGCTGCTTTGCAGAGTCCTTCGCTTCCCGCGGTTTCCGGGCTCGGAGGGGCCACGTTGGAGTTCGGGGCTGGACAAACATCCGATTTCCTGGCTCAGCCAGCAAAGGCTTTTGAAGATGAGGAAAGGATGGAGAGGAGGGGGGGATGCAGGGATGCTTTGGCCATCGGTAGGACACAGCTCAGCGTTCCCCTCCGGCACCGAGTATTTTGCAGGTGGTGGTGGTATTTCCCAGCCGGGGAGGAAAACAGCCCCTTCCCCAACGGAGCTCGACTCGGGCGAGACAAAGCAGGAGAGGAAAGGCTGGAAAAAGCAACCCAGCCGCGGTCCCACGCCGGCCCCTCTGCCCTTCGCTTCCTCCCATGGGGACGGCGACGGGGGGGTTTGCACGCCGAGACCGACGTGCCCCACGTCCCACGGGGTGTGGGGGAAGAGGTGGCCATGACCTGGCGGTGGTGGCGTTGTTGTGGCAAACCCTCCGTGTGCTAGGGGACGGGGACCTTCCCCAAAAACTTCAAGAGAAATGTTGCATTTGCTGTCTTCCCCCTTGAATTTAAGCCTTTGCTCCATCTGCATTTCAGCAACCGTGGGAGCGCACAGCATTTCCAACTCTTTGGGGTTTTGTTCCAAAGGTCTTTACATTTGTCTCCTCGCTTACAAGCTATTTGTGGGGTTTTGACTTAAATTTTGCAGAATTGTGTCTGTTCAGGAACTATCGTTTTCATGGCAAATTATTTCCCCCCTACGAATACCCTTCTCTCGGCTTTAGAACAGAAAAATGAAAAAAAAAAAATGGAATTTGGGGTGAAATCAGGGGTGCTTTGAGCCCCCAGCCATCGCCCCGCAGCCGATGGGCGTGCTGCTGCCGGCTAACCTCTGGGAAGACGGAAGATGCTGGAAGACAAAAAAATCCTGCTAATTTTAGCTCCTGGGGGCCGCCTGCCCTGTGCACTTGCACAAAGTCCCAGGCGTCACGGCCCCAGCTCAGATCGAACTCCCGGCAGCGAGGGACCGGCTCCTGTCACCGTGCGATGTGCCCCATCCAGCAATTCTGGAAGTTATTATCCAGAGCATTTGCAATCCAACAATATATAACCTTTACGAAACTCACTTTTTGAGTAATTCTCTACATTCTGCTGACACTAATGGGCACTTTTATTTTTCCTTCACCTCGCTCTCAACGGCTTAGAGGCACTAAAAAATATATTATTGATTTATTGAAGTAATTTCCATCCATCTCCAGAATCGGACTAATGTGCCACCATTTCCAAGGTTCATTCTGCATTATTCTTGGACTTTGGTTTTTTTTTTCCTTTCGTTACGAAACTCCTCCCTTGTTTTAGCTTGAGCAGAACTTACATGAAAAACGAGAATATTATAAAGCACTTCGAAGCGAGGCAATAAAATAAATCACATCCTCAATCACAACATTCAGCGTCAACATTAACCTCATGAAACAAGCAGCAGCAGAGAAATTCTCTGCTCCGCTCCGGCGTTTTGAGGCTCATTGCAATGTTTTACTTATTTAAGTGCTTCAGGGGAAGAGCGTGTCCCAAAATCCCAAGCTGGAAGGTGGAAATCTCTTTGGCGACAACAGTTTTAGAAGAAAAGGGGTGCGCTGGCAAGCCCCGAGGAGGGATATAGGCCAGCGCAGAGCATCTCTTTCCCCTTCCTCTCCTTCCCCGGCTCCCCCCAGCATCCCCGGGGAGGGAAGGACCAGCGCTGCCGTCCCACTCCTCCGCTCCAAACAAAAGAACAAAGCAGCTCATTGAGGTTTCATAATCGGAGCGACGATATCTGCCACCGCCGGGCATCCGCGCCGAGCCAGGCACCCCGGCTCGGGGAGGGGGGGAACATCTCTCGTTTAGCAAAAATATTTCATTGAAGGAGAAATGCAGAGGAGCGCCGTATCGTTTCTGCGCGTCATTGCGTCGGTTTTGGTGCTGTTCCTCAAAACCAGAGGAAAACATGCAGACCCGGAGGCGGGAAAAGACCCCAGGGGCAATATTATGGGCAAGGAGCCCGGCGTTTGCGGCTCCGGGTGACTCCTGCCGCGCTCCCCGGCCCCTTTGCAGAGTGGCATTAATATCTTACTCTGACCCTGAGAAGACGGATGGGACCATGCAATGGAGGTCGGTCAGCAAGAGATGTTCCATATAGGATGGGGCTGGATGAAGGCGATGATGCTGAGCAGCGGCGGCAGCCCCGTACCAGGGACAGGACGGGCAAATTTTCCTCTCCGACAGCATGGAGGTCGCAGGGAGCCGAGTTCCCTCTTTTCCCCCATCTATCCCAGGAGCTGCAATATTGCATCCCGTATCACAGGGCTGAGTAAGAAATGGAGGCATCCACCCGAGCTGGGCAGGGACCCCCCCCAGGTTGAGAAGCAAAGCATCCCTGCGGCTGCGGAGGGGTCAGAGCTGCCCCGTCCTGGGCGCCCCGCGAGCTCCTGCTTGTTGCAGTGTGGGGAAATAAGCTTTTGAGTGAGCGTCTCAGGCTGCCGATCAGTTTTACAAAAAAAAAAAAAAAAAAACCAAAAGGAAACAAGAAGCAAAAACCCAGCCCTTCTTTAGAGGCTTTTCTGGTCTGCTGGCAGCTCCAGCCTTTGCCTGCCAGCAGCAGCAGGCCACAGCTCTTGTCTCAATGCGTTTATTTTTAAATGCATCTTTTCAAGCATCGGGAGTCTTGGCAACAGCAGGCGGGAGGGAGAGCTTGCGCAAAGAGCCCCTAACGCTGCAATAGGCACTTACACAGCACAGTGGACTCTAATCCCTATAAATAAATAAATAAATAAATAAATAAATAAAATCTCTATATCCTATATATAGCGCCGTTTAATCTGCGTCAATCGTGAAAGCTTTCCGAGAAACGAATTTCTGACTTCACCTGTAGGAAGCAGTCATTACGGGGGGGTTGGCAAAACCCATCCCTCTCCCCAGCCCCGGCGCAGCGGGAGCACCTTCTCCTTCGCACTGTGTCCCCCAGCAGCACGTCTGGGGGGTGACGAGGGGGCTGTGGCACCTACAGCGGCTCTTTGGGTTACCCCATGGCCTTAGAGAGGTTTTTAATAGGTGCTCTTTCATCGTGACTGTCCGACTTCTTGTTCTGTCCGCGGTTAAGTATCAGGGTTATAGCTGACTCACGCGAAAAAAATACTTGCCTGAAAAAGTGTGTTGGGAAAAGGAAACACAATGCTGTTTGGGTTTTTTTTGCCTCGAAAAAATGGGGCTTTCAGGAGGGGTTTTGTGGCACTCCAGGAGACAGCGCCTTTCCGAAATCACATCATTCCCTTTTTTTCTTGCCTCCTCCTGGCGCAGGCAGAGGTTCCGGAGAGCATTCCCCATCCGGGGCTTTCCAGTTAAAGTCAAGGCACAGTTTTGTACGAAGAAAACCAAAGACAGCTGAAACCCACCCCCTCATTGCCCCTGTGCCCCCCTTTGCATGGCGTTATTTTCCCCTCTCTCCTCTCCGGAGCCAACGCGTTCCCCGCGCATCCCTGGGAGCCGCCGGGCAAAAGTTATTTTCCATCAGAAAGGTCAGCGGTGCTCGAGTTTGACATTTGGAGTATTGATCAGCCATTAAGGCGACGAAGTGTAACCGGGCAAAAACAAGAGCCGCTTTTTGGCACATCTTAACCCGAGGAGATGACTTCATCTGTAGGAAGCAGAGGGCTGCCCGGTCCCCCCCTGCCCCGGCCCAGGGACACTCCTCACAGCCCCCGTGTGAGGACAGCAGGGGGGAAAACATCAAAATAGCTCACCGGGGCTTATTTTGGAGGAAAAACCCACCACCAAGCTCGCTGCCACGCCACGCTCCTGAGCACGCCGCCTTCCAGGACGGAGTCATCGTCCCCAAAGTCCCTGTGAGGTGGGCACGACCCTGCTCTGGTCCCGATGCTCCTCCACAACTGGCGAGCATCGGCGCTTGGGCGATTTAGGGGCCTCGTGGATGAAGGGGGATTAAACTCCTTCCCAAAGGAGCCATTTTGGCCACGGACTTGCCGGGGGGAGCCCAGGACCCGTGGTGGCCAGGGGGCAGGGGATGCGGGGATGAGCAGGGCTGTGCTCACACCCCACGTCGACGCTGGCGAACAGCGAAACACCGTCCCTGCAGCCGCTACGTCCCCTGCTACCCCGTCCCCGCTCGCTCGGCTTGAGCAAAACCACTGTTTCTTTCACTGGGAGGGGAAAACGCAGCAGCGGGAGCTGGCAGAGCTGCGGCAGGACATCGTCACCCCAAGACTTGTCCTGCCCCGGCTGCTCCGGACACGGAGGATGGGATCCGCTCCGCGCACGCCCGGTGTGTTAGCAAAGCATTTATGCGGGATTTATGTTGCTGGATTCCACTCCCCAAAAGAAAAGCTTGAAATTAAACAGCTATATTTTGATAAGGTACCCAGCATTGCCAAAAATTAGTCATCAAATGCTTATTGTTCCATGCGCATTAGATTAGAGCCAAACAAACGCTGATTTTAATCTCTCCAGTGCTCTAATGCTCAGACGCTTCTCAATTCAACCTTGAAAACGGCTTTTGTTCACATTAATGGCTTTCATGCTAACGAGGCTCGGTAAGATTTAACATTTAGGCACATCCCGTTCTTCATTTTAATAACAATTCCGCCACAGAGAGCAACACATGTTCGCAGTGTGCAGGCGTAATTCAGCCACCAAACGTGTCTGAAAGTCCAAATTCAGCATCGCTGCTTCGGCCGGGGCAGCCGGGCGCGTTCGCAGCCCGAGCTCGACTTAAAAAGCAGACGGGCTAAGAAACGCCGAGCCTCCGGTGGAAATTAAGCGGTTTCTCTTTCGTGCCAAGGGACATTCAGAGCAGAGCTGGCCAATTGGGCTCTCGGCTTGCTCGGGCTCAGCCGCTGTTTCTAAGCATCTCTCTGTCCCAGCCTTATTAAAATGCCCTGCGCGGGACACTCACCAGGCTGCCGTGCTTGCTTCCCAGCACGCTAGACTTGTGGAGGTCTCTCATTGACTCGACAAGAGCTCTGTGCAGAGAGGGAAAGCAAAAAAATTCAATTCACCATCCCGGGAGGCGGAGAGAAAAACACACAAACCCTTCCTGCTTCTCCGCGCCGCGGCGTTGGGCGATGCGCGGCAGGATGCGACCCCCACGGGGCTGCTCCCGGGCAAGTTTAGCAGGAGCCGGAGCATCGCCGGCGGCAGGGCACGAGGCGCAGCCCCACGAGCCGCCGGCAGCAGCCATCACGCCGACCCCCGTGTCCTCCTCCCCGGTGGCTGCCAGCCCCGTTTAGGATAATTACGCGCTGCCGCCTACTTTCTTCTAGAGAAGAATTCCAACGCAAAGAGTTTTTGCTCCCGAGACCGTTGGCAAACGGAGGCGTTTACGTACGCAGCACATTACCTGACTCATGCACAGCCCCATAACGTACTCATTAACCTGTCCGGGAACCGCGGGATCGGCAGCGGGATGTAAAGCCGCGTCTATTCATACACCCAGGTGAAGTTTGCTGGTAATTCAGATGCTTGTTTAGAGACCCCAAAGCACCGGCGTGGGCAGCACTGCCCCTCGCCCGCCACAGCCAGGGCAGGATCCGGCACCCCACCCTGCATGGGGACGGCGTGGGACGGCAGTGGGGCCACAGCGGCCCCTTCGTTGGGGAAACGTGGAAGGTGGGACACTTTTTTCATGGCAGCCTGTGCCACTGCTCTGCCGCCCTCACAGCAGAGAAGGCCCTCCTCAGGCTGAGATGGAACCTCCTACGGTCACCTTTGTGCCCGTTCCCTCTTGTCCTGTCACTGGGCACCACTGGAAACAGACTGGTCCCATCCCACTGGCACCTCCCTTGAAGGATTGATCAGCGTTGAGGAGATCCCCCTCAGTCTTCTCCTCTCCAGACTGAACAGCCCCACGTCCCTCAGCCTTTCCTCAGCAGAGAGATGCTCCAGTCCCCTCAGCATCTCCGTAGCCCTTTGCTGGACCCTCTCCAGCAGTTCCCTGTCCTTCTTGACCCGGGGAGCCCCGAACTGGACACAGCGCTCCAGATGTGGCCTCCCCAGGGCAGAGCAGAGGGGGAGGACGACCTCCCTCCACCTGCTGGCCACCCTCTGCTTGATGCCCCCCGGGATTTTTGCTGGATATTTTCAACACAATGGGCTTTTTCAGGCACCAGAAACGGGGGGGTTGCACTCAGCCGCGGGGAAAAGCCATTTTGCCACACAGCAAACTTTTAAAATGGTGCTATTTCAAAGGCTTCAATTTTAGAATCGTGCTTCTCTGCAAGAAGCACTTGCTTGACTTTTGAAAAATAAAGGTGGTTTGCATGAAATCCAGCACAGGCTGATGGACGGAGCTTGTTGGCGCGTTCCCAGCGTGTGTCCCCCCGCAAGGAGCATCCCCGGATGTCGGGGACGGTGGCCAGAGCCCCACACACCCGTACTGGGCTGACAACACACCCCCTGCAGCAGCACAGCGGTGATGACCATCAGAGCCCCGAACCCAAGTCCTGCCAGCCTGAGAAAGCGACAGGGATGGGAGGGGAAAAAGGGGTTTGACAGTTGCATGAGGTCGGTTCAGGATTATATATTGACCACTAAAAAGCAGATTATGGGTATTTATGAGACAGACAAAACTGCACATCCCATTACAGAATAACTGTGTCGATAACGAAGAATAAAGCTCCCCATTGAGCCTCCACGCGGCTATTAATGTTTGGACGGCTCAGTAGTTTTGACTCCAAGAAAACATCAGCAGTGCTGTGCGGGACCTCATCCACCTCACGCCGCCGTGAGAGCGCGGTGGCCCCTGGGCCGGGGTGGGGGACAGTGACAGCTCTGCTTTCCCCTCAGCGCCGGTCCGGCCGAGCCCCTGCCCCGGGTCGGGGGTCTCACACAGACCCGTGCAACCCCTCCAGAGCTGCCAGTGGGCAGAAATGCCGCCTGGAAATGCTCCACTGCCAGCACCAGGGGCACAGTCCCAAATGCCATCAGCATCTTGAACGTGCTTTTTCTTTTAGACCAAGTTTTTCCGTGTGTGTTTTGATCCCTCAGCAAAAACACCCCAAAAAACAAAAAAATTATATGTGTCCCCAAATAGTTACAAACATTCAAGAAGAGAGAAAAAAGTCTCCTCCTTGGGAAGAAGCTTTTTTTGCCTGATCCTGATAGGGGGTTGACCGCTGTGAAAAGCTGATAAGCAATTGCATAATTTTTTGCTTTATTGACACAACGTGGAGCCCTGGGGCACCGCGCCGGGCACGGCTCAGCACTCAGCGGAGCCGCAGGCATGCCGGTCCTCGTCCCATGCCAACTCATGCCGCACAAGGCAGCGTCCATCACCAGCCCTCACCAGCCCTCACCATCCCTCACCAGCCCTCACCAGCCCTCACCACGATGCGTACCCAGGCACGGTGAAGTGCCATCAGCCTCCTCTTGTCTCAGGGGGGAGAGGTGACCCAGCCAGGCAGGAAGAGGGTCCTCCTGCTCCCATCCCACCCCACCAGCTCTGTTTTCATCGTCTCCTGCCGGGATGCGGTGCTGGGGCGTCTGCCCCACAGAATCATAGAATGGTTTAGGTTGGAAAGGACCTTGAAGATCATCGAGTACCAACCCCCTGCCATAGGCAGGGACACCTCCCACCAGCCCAGGTTGCCCAGGGTCACCTCCAGCCTGGCCTTGAACACCTCCAGGGATGGGGCCTCAACAACCTCTCTGGGCAACCTGTTCCAGTGCCTCACCACCCTTAAAGTGAAAAATTTCTTCCTAATGTTTAATCTAAACCTGCCCTCTTCCAGTTTAAAGCCATTCCCCCTCATCCTATCACTACATGCCCATGTAAAAAGGCTCATGCATATTCATACCACTAACGAGAGACCCCATCTCCCCCAGCCCCACCAGCCCTTGACACATACCGAGTCCACGGAGCAGGGGAGAGCCCTTCAGCCCGCTCTTGACAACACTTTGGAGACCCAAATCCCACAGTAACCAACAAAGCTCCTTGTTTTCTCCTTATTTATGCATCTGGCTGATGGCACAAACAGCTGGAGCGGCAGAGGGAAGCTGAGCAAATGGCTCCAGCTCTGCCCCCAGCCGCAGGAAACACCTTTGGGCTCTAATAAACACCGGAATAAATGCACTGAGTGGGGCACGTTGCTATAAAACAGGCTGTCATGGTCCCATCCCCTCCGTCCTGCTGGGCTTCGCCCTGCCCGGTGCAGCTGGATGAGCTCGCAGACCACATGGAAAAGCTAAAAACTCCTCTGGGGGAAAGCGGAGGTGGCTGGGGAATGGTGCGGGATGTAGCTCGGGTCTCAGCCCGTACACCATCCCGCTGGCAGCGCCCCACCACCAGCAGCATCCCGGTACGCAGGATGCTCTGAGACGGAGGATGCTGCCAGCCCATCGGACGGCACGAGGGATATCCGCAGCGCAGGCTCAGCAGAGCCCCTAGACCAAACATTGCATTAAGGTTGCATTTAAAAAAAAAAACAAAACAAAAAAACAAAAAAACCAGATTTGGGGTTTGATGCTGAATTCACTGTGCCCTCACTCGCGGGGTTTTGCATTTGCCTGTTTGCCAGAGTGAATGATGAGATGACGGCTTTAATTGCCTTGCAGCGCAGGAGCACCGGCGCTGACGTGGCCCGGCCGCCTCCTTCACGGGTGAGCTGGCACCGTCCGCTCACGCTGTGCCCCGCGAAGGTGCCCCCCACCGATGCACCCACACCCCCAACCTCTCCCCCTGGCAGGGACGGCAGCGGAGGGGGATGGACCCCGCTGACCCCACGTCCGACGGAGAGATACAAGTGCTGCGAGAGCACGAGGGACGCATTTGGGCCGCTTCACACTCGTCTGTAACCCAAAGAGCAGCACCAGAGCTGCTGTGAAGCTCCGTGGGGTGGTGTCCCCCCCGCGAGGAGGTCACACTCAGGAGCCTGGGCATCCCCTGGGCTTGCTCTGCCCCACGTGCCCACAGCCCGCAGCCCTGCCAGAGCAGCCCAGTGAAGAGGGACGGGGACAGCAGCGGGTTGGGATGCTCCAAAAGGTGATTTCCAAGGTTGTGCTGCAAATCCAGGTGTCCCGGCGTCCGCTTTGCCCTGCGCTGGCTCTCCACCACCTCAGCGGGTGCTCTGCAGCAGCCGGCACCCCGCGCCCGGGAACGATGCTACGATTAGATGTACGGCGCTGTGATGACATTAGTACTGGGGCAATGAGAGAGCAGGGACACCAGGCCAGGACAGAGCTCCCAAGGGGCTGAGACCCCCCCCCAGTGCAGCACTGCTCCAATTTGGTCCCCCCCAAGTGGGGCTGAGCTGCCAAGAGCCAGAGCAGAGCTCTGCTTCTGCACCCACTGGGGCGGTGGGAGCACCCCATCTCCCCGGCGGGGACCCTGGAGGGGGGGGGGGGGGCACCCCAAGAAGGGATTGTTGGCAAGGCACGGTTCATTTTGGGAAAGCCACTTCTCCGTAGTGCATAGACAAGGAGAGGCAAAGAGAGCTCCGTGCTTATCCAACTTGTAAAGAGCAGTAGATTGGTTTTACAAATACTAAGGATTAATCCAATTAACATGGTCTAAACAAAGGACAAAAGACAGATGAATATTTCTGAAGCGCTATCCGCCAGCTGAGTTTTTTCCAGCCTGGAAGGAAGTGACTGGGATTTCCCTGGAGTTCAACTTTTCAATGATTTCTTCTTTCCAGAGACCCCTGACTGCCTGGGAAGAGCCTCTCCTCTTCCCAAGCCGCTGGGAAAAAAGCACCAAGTGAGGCCAGATGTCTCCTGGCCACGGGGCCGGGCTGTCACCACGAGTCCCCATCCCTCCTCGACCACAGTGCTGCTTCCCACCCATCCCGGGCACTTCACATGGTCCCACAGATGCCGTGGACTGCGCGGGAACGATGCAAAAAGCATCCCTGGCACCAGCGTTCCCAATACTGGGCAGGGGCCCCATTTTGGACCATTTTCCCCCTAGGAAACCTTCCGGGGGAGGCAAACCAAACCCCTCCCAGGCCC